GGCGTATTTAAGTTTTTAAAACCAAATATTGTAGTAAAGTATTTCTATTTACTAAATTTTGTGTTGCAATAATAAAAATTATACTACCTAATATAGAGTGTCTAAAAATTTATTTTAAATAATAACTAGCTATAAACGGCAATAACTTCTTTAATTTAAATGGAACACCCTGTATATTTTATGAGAATCAGATGCACAATTTAATTGTCTATCAAATTGTATTATATTATTTTTGACCTATGTCTTCAGGTTTTCGTAGAAATTGCATTTTCTTATAATTTAGACCTCAATTATCAATATACCCATGGAATATTGAAAATTTTGATTATTTTTAAAGATGTAACAAATTTAAAAGGGTACAGATACTAATATTGTCGATATAGTTCGTTTATGTCATTAAAAAGATAAAAAAATTGTTCAAATATTTGTAAAAGAGGACCAATTGATATGATTGCAGTATTCAAGCTACATTAATTGACTGTTTGCGTAGATTAATAATAATTGATCGAAATACTGAAAAATTTAATTTTGTATGTGTATTAGAGAGTGTGGTAAAAAGTAACACCTTAAAAATTTTATTTCATTTTTTGACGGATGCTTATTTGTAAGAAAAGAGATGTTCATTTTCATAACTTATTGTTATATTGATTTCTGATTCCAAATCCACCTTTATTTAGAATAATTTGTTAAATAACACAATTAAATATATAATTAATAAATATTTGGGCGGTAATATTTAATTAATGGTAACTGGAAATCGTCCGATTTTCACCAAAATTGATATACACACTATTTTGAGGTCGTAAATTACGAATCTATTTTTTTCTTGGCGGTCTCCTTACCGTTTTTCAGAAAAATGGAAAATTATTTCAACATTGAATTTTTCTTTATTTCGGCCTTATAAAGTAATATTTTCACTATATTTTCATTATATTATAGTTTATCTAAAAGCCACACTTGATTGAGGATAGAAAAGTGTCCAACATTTTACTGAAAAATACTTTTCTTAACAAAATAGCAAAGAAAATTGAGACCAGATGGAAGTTTGACATTTGATATATCCTTCTTTCTCTCTCCTATGTAATAAGAGAGACAAATATATTATAGACCTAATCTAGAAATTTGAAAATTTACAACATTGCCATATGTTCTATTTTTTCGGGTGATTATGGATTTTAAATAAATTACCTATTATGAGATCGACAATAATTAAATATACACCTATATCCACAAAATTACGCGGAAGAGTTTTGATTGCATTGGTTTTAACTTCTTTGCGGAGGGGGTTAATCTTTTTTTAGTTAATCTAATAATATAACAACAAAAGATTAACACCCTCTGCATGGAAGTTGTAACCAATGCAATCAAAACTCTTTGGTGCAACTTCGTGGGTATAAATAGTCAGATCTCGTTGGTAAAATAGCAGTTATGGGAAGAAGTTTCGTAATTCCAGAATGAGCGAAAAAAAACACGCTAAATTTAGGTTTAGCATTGGCAACGTTGCTTAAAATGCCAGAAACACATAAACTTACTTCGGGTTTTTCTTATTGCCGATTCTGAACCGTCCTAGAACTGTGATGCGTATGCGCAGAAGAAAATAAGAAGACATTATTTCATTTGCGCATGCGCTGCTGAGTTCTTGGACGGTTCAGAATCGGTAATATCAAGAACCCGAACAAAGCTATAACCTAACATTTTCAGATTGTTTACAAATTTATTTTAGCAAATTTTCCTCTATTATGCATAGAATTGGTTAAAAAAGTAACAGAAAATAGCAAAAACATTATTGATTATTGAATACCTAACAAAATATGTGCTAGAAAACCTTAAAAATATGAGAAATTAAGAAAAATTCGATATTGAAATTATTTTCCGTTTTTCTGAAAAACGGTAAGAGACCGCCAATAAAAAAGTTCAGATTCGTAATCTACGACTTCAAAATGGGACGTATACCAATTTTGGTGAAAATCGGACGATTTCCAGTTTTCCCAATAATTACCAAAAATGTCAATTTTTTATTCATTTTTACCTTGCCCCCCCTAAATTTCATTCTTCCGGCGCCCATGCTTTCTACAATATTTGCAGCTGCGCTAAATGCTGTGGTATACTTTTTTACCGTAAAGCAGACATGCATTAATCTTTAACTTGCAGCTATTGTTAAGTTTGGCGTGCACTAGTGCTCTCCAACGACAAAAAGAAGGATGTCAAAAGAGACAAAAAGTCAGGATGCAATGAAGACTCGAAAGATAACATAAGGACTCCTTAATATTGCCCATTATTCATATAAAAAAGACTTTAACTGGATTTTTAATGCGAAAAAACAATGTCAGAAATAGTGTTAATTTTGTCAACCCTGTAACTCTTAAAAGTTAGACGTATGAAAATAAAATCATTCCACCAATTTTGTAGAGAATTTTCTGAGCTTCAATTTTCTGTATAGGGTATTTTTTCGTAGGTTGTCATATTTTACGAGATTTAAGCTAAAGTCTCATAAAAGTGACATTTAATCCTCAAGCTCGTCGTCTATCTTCGGGGAATTTTGACACATTAGCCCAAGTCTAGAGAAATCATTTAAAACTATTTTCAAAGCTGTGAGATTTTATTCCACGGATTTCTCTAATTTGACTGGGCCTAGTAGCCTCCCTCGCATAAATATAGAGTTGCAGTTGGACTCATTGTTGTCTATTGTTGGCTATATGCTTGAGTGAGGGCCCAAGTTATCCCTGCTGATCTTCTAATATCCTGGTCCCATCTCAGGTTCGGTCTTCCTCTAGCTCTCCTAGTGGGTACCATGCTGTAATTTTTGTGGTGCATCTGTTTTCCGTCCTTCTTGTAAGGTCTCCTGCCCATTGCCACTTGATCATATCCAATTCAAATGTTTCAATTGAAAAACGTCAAAGATAACTTTTAAAAATGATAAGACTAAGACTGCAATGTGCTATTACTGAAGAAGCACTAAAATCCTCAAAAATCTTGAAGCAAATAATACGATCCTTGTCCATCCTTATAGCCGGAGAGCTGGCGACATATTTAGAGAACATATTTTAGGCAAGTTAGAATAACAAAAAAAATAAAGTTTAATAACTTGTGAACACAGAATCCTAAGTCTGGCTGGGGGGTTGGGGGTATTTCGTTACTGCGCAACCCATACCATTTGCAAAAAAATAAATCCAAAAAACATTCTTAGGCAACTTGAAATTTGTTTATTCTTAAATTTTAGCATCTATTTAACCTAGAAATAAGTGTGCCAGACTTTTTTTTCGGGTTTAAAGTGTAACCAGACCATTCCAAATATGTTATTAATAAAGTTAATTATTATACCTGGAAAACATACTTTAGGCATTCTAAAATTTTTACAGCGTGTTTATTAGATGATATTAAAAAATATGTGTTAATTGCCAGACGAATTCAATGGGATTTAATACTTGCCAGACGCGAATAAAGATTTTAAATGAGCGCGACAGAAAAGTCTTATGAGTATAAGCGCCAGAAAGATAGTTTATTGAGACCCGTCGGCAGCCAATGCGGCTGACGTAACAGTATTTTGGAGTATGTACTTCAAATTTTCATAAAAACAATTTTTTTTCGGTTTCATTTCAATTATTTGCAGGCTTTTAATTCAGAGATTATTTTGTTGGAATTAAGTTACCATGTACAAATATGTATTTATAAATTAAATATTGACGTGCATAGTGTAAATAGTTTAGAATAATATTACTGCAAGTAAATATTTTAGTGACTACTAATTTCGCTACTAACTAGTAAATCACAATGGATAAAAAACATTTAAGTTTTGAAGTTTGTAAAAAAGTTACTAGTGACAAAGTTATTGTTTTTGATGAAGGCAGACTACAAAAATGCAAAGAATTTTTAAAAGTGCGCCAACAACATGGTTTAAAATTTAAAGAAGTGGTTTTACCAGAAAACGTAGTCCCGACAAAAGGTTACCATGTACAGTGCTAAAAAAATAAGTATTCTGGAATTTTATTAAAGTACCTACCATTGTTAAGCTTTCTAAATAGATTCAAAAGTAAGTAAAAGTGCTTTACTTTTATGCTTAGGCGTTAAAATGACTTTTTTATATTGTCAATCAGGTCGCAAAAATTAATAATATAATATGCCACAAAAGTATAATAATAATTATACTTTTGTGACGTTTGAAAAAAATATATTTTATATTATGCTAATTTTTAAATAATTATTCGTCTTTTTATTCTTTCAGATACAAAATACATAAATAAAAAAATCTTCTTATTGAAAGGATTTCAATCATACATTTTTATTAAAAAATGTTTCTTTTTATTTATTCAATATTAGTTAGTTTTTTTAAGTTTTTACGACTCTAAAACGTTGTTACGTCATCGTCAACCGAATCGGCTGCCGACCGGGTCTCAATAAACTATCTTTCTTGCGCTTATAGATACTCATAAGACTTTCTTATCGCGCTCATTTAAAATCTTCATTCGCGTCTGGCAAGTATTAAATCCCATTGAATTCGTCTGGCAATTAACACATATTTTTTAATTTCATCTAATAAACACGCTGTAAAAATTTTAGAATGCCTAACGTATGTTTCCCAGGTATAATAATTAAACATATTGGGAATGGTCTGGTTACACTTTAAACCCGAAAAAGAAGTCTGGCATACTTATTTCTAGGTTAAATAAATGCTAAAATTTAAGAATAAACAAATTTCAAGTTGCCTAAAGAATGTTTTTTGGATTTATTTTTTTGAAAATGTTATGGGTTGCGCAGTAGCAAAATACCCCCAACCCCCCAGCCAGACTTAGGATTCTGGGTTCACCAGTTAATAAACTATACATTTTTAGTTATTCTAGGTTGCCTAAAATATGTTCTTTAAATATGTCGTCAGCTCTTAGGCTATTAATCCTCCTGAGAATCCTCGTCTATTAAACTTGATACGAAACGTCCTCGCCGGATGACGCGCCAAGGAATCCCACACACGTTCGCGACATATCGCAGCCTCCGCCGCGGCCGACAAAGTGGTGGAACGTATCGGACGCACGGCCGAATCGCGAGTCTAAAAAACACACACACGTTTATCTCAATCGAAGAACAAGATGAGTCGCGTATAAAAACCGATCATCCCGAATCGCCAGATTCAGTACCCCCTGAATTTTCGACGTACGTCGATCGATAAAGACGCGAACATAAAAAAAACGAGTAGCGCGAGTGGACAAGTGAAAAATTTCGCGGTGTGCAGAGCGACCAGATAGAGGACACAACAACAGTTTGAGAGTTTATATTACTTTTTTCCTTATTGTAAGTACATCGGGGGTGATGGATTAGTTTGTGAGTGATTTTTTTTAACGTGACGACGTATTTGGGATGAGTGGAAGGGATGTAGGGAGGAACAGGTGACGTCAAATGGGGTAAAATAGTCGGTGACAAATTAAAAAGAATTCTATTTATATAAGAAGTTAAATTGAGCCAAATGTACTTATGATTTTTAACGCTTTTTATATTTAATTTTATATTATATAGGGTGAGTCTTAAATAAGTGCACATATTCATAAGTCCTTATGTTTTTTCCCGAAAAAAGAATGAAAATTTTTTATTTTTCAATTTTTTAATTGGAAAATTCTTTAGTCAGTTAAAAAACATGATTGGTTGGTTATATGGTCACAGAAAAAATCCAGTGGTTTTCAAAATTTAAGCAAAAAATCATTTAATTTTTAATTTTCTAAGTAAAATAACTCGGAAATTTTGGACTTATTTTAGAAACGACAAAGAGAAAATATGTTTCTGTTATCGAGATATATTAGCCCTGAAAATACGTGCACTTATGTATTTAAGATTCACCCTGTATTATAGTGTAAAGAAATGTACCTACTTTAAAAATATGTATAATAAAAAAGTAGCCTCATGCTCTTGCATCAAATATGACATTAAAAAATATGGAATGAATATTTTACGAAAAAAAATGAGATTACTAATTTTTTTAATATTAATTATGATTAAAATATAAAGTTAATATTTCCTAAAACAACGTATTTTTTTATTATTTAAAAATTTCTTTTGCTTAACAATGATTAATAAGTTAGCTCTGTTTTTGGCTATATGTATTTTAAGTTTTACCAATGATACTGTTTTTAAACATTTTTATCAAATTTAAATAAAAGTATTAATAAGAATTAATATGTGTAATATACAGGGTGTCCCACTAAGAACAGCTCTCGGCTGTATCTCGGAAAGTATTAGCCGTAGGGGCTGCGGAAAAAATATTTATGACTAAAGAGGCTATGAGATAGGGGGCGCACAGTATTTATTATAATAATTCTGCTAATATCTTCGGTTTGAAAGAAGATATCAAGATGCGGTTTTCGCTGACTTTTTAAGCTTTTTCTACTCTTTCCGATCAGCTAAAATTACATATACTATTGTATTTAATTTTTTTGAAAAAACGCGCAATTTTAGTTAAATTGTAAGACAACGCCCCCTAGCGTCTATGTTCAAAAGCTTATTATTATTGTTTATATGGTATAATATAGAGTAAGAAACGCTCTTTTAAACTAGCCCTGCTTGTTGGATTCCGATCATTCAGTCCAGAGTTATTAATATTTAAATAAAAACAGATCTAACCTTCTCCCACCACTTTATTTTGGTAGATAGAGGAAAATGGCTCTAACAAAAAATATTGAAAATGTACTGGAGATTACGAAGCTATTACTTATAGTACACCTTATCTAGGCAAAATTGTGTAAAAACTCCATTTTCTTATTTTTTGTTGCAGTTGCGCCCCCTAGTGGTCGTTCTACAAACTTGAAAATAATTTCCAGCAATTTCTCATAGCCTTTTGAGTTATAAATATTTTTTTCCGCAGCCTCTACTAGCTAATACTTTCCGAGATACAGCCGAGAGCTATTCTTAGTGAGACACCCGGTACATATTTTTGAAATTAGAAAAAATGCGTTAATACACATCTAATATTCTATAATACACATCTAATACACACTATACATTATACATTAGCGTAACTAGCAATTCATGCTGGGGAAGACTACGGTTTTTCTTTTTTAAAAAATGAAGAATAATATCAAAAAATTAACATATTTTCTAATAAAACGTTGACATGGATTTCTCTATCAAATTTATTGATATTTTTGGCAAATTTTGTAAAAAAGACTAACAGACATTTTTTGAACAAAACAAAATAATATTAACTGAACAAAACTAGAAAAGGTCATTTTCACTACATCACAAGCAAATAAAAATTAATATTTAGCGAGAGTTATACTTCAAAGTCAAAATTCACTAGATTATTTTTTGGGGGGGGGGGTATCCAACAGTACCTGGGATGGACCCGGCACTTCGGACCCCTCTGTAGTAATGCTAATACTAATATACAAGGTGTCCCATTTAGAAAATAGTATATTATTTTAGTAGGAGTAAAAAATTATACTTTTTGTGGTTTTTTTTTTCAACAGTTACAAATAAATTTTTAAACAATTACAAACATTGCAAATTATATATAAATATTTCAAAGTAAAATTAACACTGATTATAGAAAGATCAAAAAAGGATAGAAAGTTTTTTAGATAGACACACAAATCAATTTCCAAAAAATAATGTTTTCTCGAATTTAAAAATCATTTAAAAATAATTTTTATTCAATATAAAAATAAATTACAACCTTCCTATGGCCAACTGCAATAAGCGCCATTAAAAAATAAAGAAGTATATGCCAAGTAATGATGTATAGGGCTTGACCTCGCTAAAATTATCATCGATTGATTTTCATTCAACAGCCGTCTTTGACGCCGTTTTTTTTCGATCATTTGTTATAATATTTGCATTGTATAATGTTAAATATTATTATTATATGCTAAAACATAATAAATTGATTCAATTAATGTTTATATATGCATAAATAAGTAGACATTTTAATTAAAATACTACCGATAATTTGATGAAACTCATCGAACTGACTGTTTAATTGAAACGCTTATCGCCGACATCTTTCACTCCACTGTTCGTTTCCGTCATATAAAAATCAACTTGATATCGAAAACATTTTAATTAAACAGGTTACGTAATTACCTCTGACAAATCAGCCGTATGTAATAACCCCAAAAATAATATTAGCGTGTGTTACAAGAAGAAAAAACACCTTTTAATCAATTAATATATCACGATGAGAGTTTTTTTAAGAGTAAAATTAGTGGCTCTCTCCTAAGACTATCCTGAAATTATCGTTACGAAAATTTCATTTTTGTACAGAGTTGCCAGATTTTATAATAGTCAGATTCAAAGACATTTTGAAAATATTTATCTATACGTACTAAAATAAATAATGGCACCTCCCCCAGCATCTAAGTCTATGCTATCGAAAGATGCGTACAATTTATTTAAGATAGGAACTATCGCAAACAGGATATATCCATCTTATCCGATAGTCAAGCAGAACTAAAAGCGATCAACTCGGTAACCATCAATTCGAAGTTGGTCAAAGAATGCCTAAAGAAGCTCAACAAATTAAAAATAATTTTATTTATTTATTTCACCCCTTCCCTGGGGTGAATTTAAAAAAAAATCTTTCACAATTCGTTTGTACTAAAATTTCGTATTTGAAGGCCTATTTTATTGAACTATAAGAGGGACAGGGCATTTCCCATCCTCCTGTGACAACAGATGTTCCTTCTCCGAGGGTATACACCCTTCTACGGTTGGGGTTTGGCCTTCCGTGCTCTTCATAGTCGATGAGCTTCTGCTCTCCAGCTGAGGAATCGGTGAGTTTCTCCACCTCTTTAACTTGGTTCCTCTCTGAGGAGATACCGGTGTTGTCCCGAATCTATAATAGAGAATATATCCCTCTTTCTCTATTGCCTCCTTGGATTTGAGGTCAATTCCTTTTCCAATTCAATTAGTTTACAATGCCAGGGGCGCTATTCTGTACAATCGTCGGTATCGGCAAGTTACCGACAGCTATCGGTACGTACGGCCAATGAGCGTCGTGTTGATTGTTGTTGTCATAGTTACCGATCGGCCCTATGACAGATATCTCAAATTTGTACCGACGACTCTCGGTATCTCTACCGTGAGGTTGACAAGGGCACGGTAGAGATACCGATTTTCGTCGGTACAAATTTGCGATATCTGCCATAGGAAATACTATTCTGTGAAATTGTCGGTATCTGTAAGTTACGACAGCTTTGATTGTTGTTGTCATAGTTGCCGATCGGCCCTATGACAGATATCGCAAATTTGTACCGACGACTCTCGGTATCTCTACCGTGAGGTTGACAAGGGCACGGTAGAGATACCGATTTTCGTCGGTACAAATTTGCGATATCTGCCATAGGACCGATCGGTAACTATGACAACAACGATTAACACATTTTTACTATATACAAATACGTATCGAGAGCTGTCGTAACTTACCGATACCGACGATTTTACAGAATAGCGCCCCAGGTCTGCATATGCAGCTGGCAACACCGTCTTTCTCAGATCTCTCGTATCTCTTGTCTACATCTGTCAGAAAGCAACGTAATGAGTCGTAATGGGTAAATTACACGCCGCATTTCACATGAGATTACCAAATTGGCACAGATCGACTCTTCTGATATGTTTTTAGGCGAGAAATATACAATTTTATAGCCTCTGAAAACAATTGTGTTTTGGGATGTTTTACGGTTTGCAAATATGGTGTTCCGAGTAGAATTTCATATAATATACCTGAAAAAACAATCTCAAATTATGATAATACTAACGACAAGGTTCTAATAAATTATTATACAGGGTGGTCCAAGCTGTATTCCGAAAACTAAGCATATTGTGCAGATAAAAATATTTATTTCGATTTCTTCAAAATATTTTCTGAAGTAACGTCAATACGTCAATATTTGGATGAAAATTGGTGTCTGGGACATGATAAATTTGATTTTGATGTCAATATGACTCCTACTCGTAGAGGGCGCCACCTACATATTTTTTAATTGGGTTGAAGAATAATAACTTTTCGTCCGTAACCTGTATAAAACTACCGAGTAAAAAAATATAAAGTTACCACGTTTTTTACGTAAAAAAATCTCTTGGTAAAAGTCGCTACGAGTAATAATGGTTCTCGACATATTTAGAATCGAATCATTACCTGTCATCATTGACATAAATAAACATGTTGACTAAATAGTTGTTAGACTGATATCATAAATCTGAAATGTTTTTGTGCCGAAAGTTCATCAGAAACTGTTTTATCATAATTTTTTCGAAGAAAAATAAAAAGTTCTCAAATTTATAATTTCAGTCAAATAATAGTACGA